TAGGGAAGAAAGTTAATCCCTTGATTCGGCCAGACCTATTATTATATTATTGACTTATTGAAAAAGACTTGAGTGCCCTTCTTTAAGTAAGAGGCACTCGAACTAACATAACAGTACACATCAGCATTCTCAACAAGTACAAAGACTGAAATACCCCTTCACTAACACCACTAACACTACTACTACTACTATCCATGTCCTTCTTGGTCTACCCCGAGCTCTTCTAGCCCCTTCAATGTGTAACAAATCACTTCTAATTGGCACAGTTGGTGGTCTTCTATGCACATGCCCAAACCATCATAGGGCTTTTTATGGCATGCAACTAATTGAAGCACAAATAGAAAATGCTTCATATGGCTACTGAGATTGATTAAAAAGATGCTATTGTTTCAGATTGGGTGCTTATAGAAAATACTGTGAAGGGCTTGACTATGGAAATCCCAAGCCACACAAGAGAGAGGGATTTCCATTCAGGCAGAGATCATAGAACTCCTAGAAGTGGGTTTTTAATTGAGACAAGGGAGAGTTGAGATTGAAGAAGACCCTCAGGTGGTCTACAGCATTTCTTAAGGGAGGTTGCATCCTTGGCTGTCTGGATGAAAAGCTTGTTCAAATTGGACTCTGAGGTTGCTAGCTCCCTTGATAATATTCTAGCTATACAGGGGGAGTTAGGAGGTCTTCTTTGTATTGGGAACAACTGTACCATGGTAATTTGTTTTCTACTTGTTTTTTGATAAGTAGCAGAATTATTTTATTTAAAATATTAATATACATAAACATGTACAAGGTTCCAAAATAACCCACACGTTAGGCTAGAACAGTCTAACTATCCCCCATTTACTTACAAAGATGGTCCCAAGGCTGTTTCCTTACCTAATACAAACTTTGCCAACCTTCTGTACACTTCCTCCCTGTCTGTAATATGATGCACTGCAATATACTTTATTGGTGGCTTCTGATTGATTCTCTAATATTGAATTGCAAAAATGAGTTCAGTTTGGAAGTATTCTTTGTATTGATTTTTTCTATGTGGAGTCCTATTCTTAACCTAAATGTTCATTATCTACTGTAGAAATGCTGTTGTAACAATATTAGTTATTGCATCCCATTCTATTAAGTCAGTGATGGCTAATGAGACATTTTGAATTGCAGTACCATGGCTGGTGGCAGCAAATCCTGTGAATTATGGTCGCCCATGTGAGTTATCATGCGTGGAAGCATTATCAGCAGCTTTAATGATATGGTATAGCATTTGTTTATACTCCTCCTTTCAGCTTTTCCTAATAACTCCATAGTTCTTGATCCCAAAAATAAATAGATATATAAAATGAATTGCATTTATTTGTAGATTGTTACCATGATTGGAAATTCTGCTAGTTTTGCACTTAAGCCATATTGACATAACATGTCTTCATAGTTGCTTTTGGCTATCCCTCAAACTCTTTAACTTAGATTTCCCTTAGGCTGTGTTTGGTTTGAAAGAAAAGGTAGGGAAACCTGTACAAACCTTGTATAGGTTTCCCTACCTTTTCTTTCAAACCAAACACAGCTTTATGGAAAGAAGATAAAGGGATATGAAGTTTTTCATAGTGATGTTTGGGCCTACTGGCAGAATATCTGATCTGGCTTAGAGAAGATTCTAATTGTATTTTGTCTCAAGTTTATAGATTTACTTGTTAAACCTCTTGAACATGATTATGATGTTGGATAAGATTATTTTCCAGCATTGTGACTTTCCTTTATGTTTTGTCAGTGGGGAAGAGGAAACAGCAAATCTATTGTTAGGAAAATTTAAGTGGGGTCATGCGTTTTTGTCTTTGAACAGGTATGATGTGCCTACTTTTAATAAATGGAAATTATGATAGAATTATACCATATTTGAAGTCTTAAATATGCTGAATTCATAGTTGTCAAGGTGATGCTTAGGCGGTAAGGCGCTCATGGAGGGTAGTCTTGGTTAATCGGAAAGACATTTTTTTTACATGGTGCTCTTGGATACTTTTTATTTAACTTTTGAGATAATAATAATAATAATAAAATACACATTATTAAACTAAATTATTCAGTTTAAGTTAAAATACTAATTTCTTTTTACTATTATTCTCATTTGTTAGGGTTCAGTCAACATGTGTATTGCCTTGAACCCTTGAAGACTTCAAACCTTGAACTTATAAGCATGGAAGAACTCAACTTTATCCAATCAGGACACATTGATTGTTTTCATCATTGTTCTTCTTCATTTTTTGATCAATATTCCCTTTCTTTTCTTTTCTTCTTTTCCAAAGAAAAAAGATAGAGGCTCAGCCCCTCTATTTTTCTGAAATGTCTTTTCTTTATTTTGTTCATGAGTATGTAGATTTTTTATGTTTCAAATGAAGCTTATACATTTTTTATGAAGATTATAGATAATTAATAGCGAAACACGACTGTTGCTTGCTACAAAACCTAAGGAATTACCCTAAAATTCATGGTTTTCATTAAAAAAAAAATCACCCAAGCGACTAGGCAACAGTTAATAATGAAATATGGGCTTTATTAACAAAACAAAAACAAAAACAAAAACAAAAACATCACCTTGCCTTGCCTCAATGTCTTGAAAGCTATGCTTCTAGGGTCAACTGCTTTTGACAATCAAGAAATACAAAGATAGCTTAATATCTGGAACAATGAGCTTGCATGGTCAGAAAACTTTCTTTTGACCCTAAAATAAAACACGATATGCTATCAACCAAATGAAAAATCAACTCACCTAGTGAGTGCTTGGTTGGATGATTTGGTTTTGATATGCTTACATGATGACAACACTTGCAATCCTCTAAAACATAGACATGCTATTAATCAAACGAAAAACCAAATTATCTAGTGAGCGCATCCTCTTGTTGCTACCCCAAATGACTCATTGACAACCCGCAAACATATTAAAAAATAGGGATTGCCTCTAGGGTCTAATACTTTACTGTGACAATATAGAAATACCAAGGTAGCCTAACATGTTGAACGATATATTCACATGACTAACACTTTTATGCGACCCTCCAATGAAACACAAGCATGCTACTAATCAAATGAAAAACAAAACCATTGAATGAGTGCATGTCTAGGTCATTTGGTTTCAATGAGTTCACATGGTTACAACACTTTCTTGCAACCTTGCAATAAAACATACACATCCTAACAATCAAATGAAAAACCAAATCACCCAATGTGTGCCTACCCGTTTCATACCCCAAATGATACAAAAATAATACACTAATGTATGAGAAAATAGAGAGTACCTCTAAGGTCTACTACATAGTTGTCAAGGCAATGCCTAGGCGACAAGGCACCCTTGGAGGCTCGCCTCTCCTAGTCGCCAAGAAGTTTTGTGCACTATGTTAATACTTTTATATTTTTAATTTTTTGACATTATAATTATAAAATAGGCATTATTAAACTCGAATACTCATTTTATGTGTTTATGTACTAATTTCTTTTTATTATTTTCTTATTTGTTAGGGTTTAATCAACACAAACATTGCTCACTGCTGTATTGAATCCATGGTTCAAAGTATCGATACACCTCTGTGTATCGGCAGA